TTAAAAAATATATTTAAAGTCAAAATTAGTTTTCCTAAGGGACAGATCTATACTTAATCTAACTACTTGACAAAAGAAGAAAAATAGAGCTCAAATGTATTTAGTAACTGAAATATAAGCACATATCCTTCAAACCAATGCAATACAAGTCAAATTCAATAGATGAGGAGCTATTTGTTTATCATTTGTTAACCCAATGAAAAGGAGCCCTGGTGGCCCAGTGTCTATGCATCTGGTTGCTAAATGAAAGATCAGTGGTTATGACAGGGTGGGGATGCAGTCCCAGGCTAGCTCTATTCCTTGGGTCTTAGTCTCTTGGGTAGGAAAAATTCAGTCCACAGAAACAGCATGGAGCAAAGCACAGGGAAATTTTACTGAAAGTGAAAACACAGAGACACAGCTTTTAGTACACTTGACAGGTTCATCTGGGCAGGTTGGGACAGAGATCTAAGTGCCGTGCCTACCAGGTGGGCTTCCTTTTAACAGTCATTTCCCCCTATTTTAACCTTCTTTTATAGGTGCTGATTCAGCCTCTTCCGAGTTGTTTTGCTGTTTAATTTCTCATTCGAAGTATCCAGATTCCCCTCACCCCCAACTCCCACCTTCCCTTGGCTATAGACTGCTTAACAATTAGCTCCATGGGGGAATGATGGACAACCTGCTTCTCTAAAGGATCTCAGTCTTGGAATCTCTGTGGAGCAATTCTACTTTGTCCTAGAGACAAGATTTGAATTGGCTGAATAAAAGCAACTATAGCAATATCATTAAAATATCACTGTTAAATCCAGATATCATCTATTATGTCACATTAATTCTTGAAAAGACAACATGTATAATAATATTTAAATCTTAATTTTAAATAGTTAACTATCTGACTTGTGTGTAAAATGAGAGGAGAATAATATTTCCTTAATGTGATCTAAAGTCACAATCAGTTTACTAGGGGGGGACCCAAAAAAACCTGGAATTTTTTGGGAAGCTGTGTGTTTAAATTTTTTTATAGAACAACCTTATCACCTTCACAGTGCTTTCCATTACTCTTATTACATTGAACAAATCTGATTCCATTCCTGGAAACAATACTCAAACACATCTGCTTCGGGGCTAACAGCACCTCCCTCATTTTTGTATTCATCTATTTTATGATGTCAAATTGCTGTTTTTCATGGCTTCATTCGCAGAACAGAAAGAAGTCACATGGAGTCAGGCCAGGTGAGTTAGGTTTGTGGGGCAAGAGGAGCATGCTGTTTGGGGCCAAAAACTGGCACACTGAGATGGCTGAATGAGCAGGTGCATTGTCGTGGTGGCAAAACCAGTCCCCCATCCACCACAAAGGTGACCTTTTTTGTTGCACACTGTGTTACACAATCTTTTCAGAACCTCTAAGTTGAAAGCTTGATTAACAGTATGACCTAGAGGAAAGAACTACAAGTACATTATGAATTGACATTTTCATCCATTCAGGAAGTTGATGGACATCCAGCACGAGGTTTGTCATCAATCAACCTCTCACCTTTTTTGAAATGAGAAAAGCACTCATATACTCTTTTTTTCCCCATAGCACTGCCCATGTAAGCTGTACTCAACATCACAACAGTTCCTGGGGTTTTGTTCCTGAGTAGGAAAAAAAAAATTCACAGCCACATGCTGCTTTCTTAAATCGACCCTCCCAAAAAAAAAAAAAAAACGAGGTTCGAGTGAAACTGCTTTCACGAAAAAATTCACTGTGACCTGAGAGAACTTTCCCAGGCGATGCCACTGGGTGCACTAAGTCAGAGGAAGTTGCTGTTGCTCACATACCTGGAAAAATGTATACTGTGAAAGTTCTGCTCTGTCCAGCAAAACTCCTGTTTGGGTGGGTGGGGAGGTACCCTCTCTTATATGTACTTGGAAAATATATTAAAAGTATTTCCTTTCCTTTTGTTGCTCTTTGTTAGACAATTGTCTTTAACATAATTGTGATTTAGTTTTCTTCAGAAAATTTGTCTAAGGAGTAGGAAGTTTTGACTGAGGCAATGGCACAGGGGAAAATATTATTTAAATGAATATTAAATTGAAGATTTAATAGGAATTATGTGAAAACCTTTAGATGAAGAAATATGAACTTACACCAATAAAATGTGTATGTCAATTACACAATACATTGTCTAATGGATGAAAAAAGACCCTTTAATATGGAAAATATTTGAAGCATGCAACTCATAGGAGTTTAGTTCATAAAGTCTGCATAAATAGGAAAATGAATTGTTGACAGGTGATTGGCAGTTTCAGACAGAAAATAGAGTAGCCATCAGGTTCCTGTTTGAGAAGATAAAATATTGCAAAGATTCTTCCATCAAAATTCCAACAGGCTCCTTAAAAGATATTTTATTCTGAAATTACATTTAAAAATTAGCAACACTATGAGAGAATTCTTTTAAAAATGCAAATTAATGTTAGGAAAAGATTAGGCAACAGTATTAATACTTATTTCCAGAATATTAAGGAATAGATATTTTAGGACTGGCTTGAAATTTGTGAATAAATGCCTCTACAGGTATCCTGGATATTCATATAGCTAGCCATATAAATAAAAGAAATTTCTAATTGGGAAGCACAGCCTTCTGAAACATCCTAAAGCATCAAAATAATTTAAATACATGCTGAAATGGAGATATTTCAATAGAGGGAACATTTTTGTTACTGGTGAAGTGGAGGTGGGAAAAATAAAATTGCAGAAACAACCCTGTGGTTCCTACTTAATAGAAAAATGATGCATATTGTTTTATAGCGGCATAATTTATCTAACTTTTAAAGTAGTGGAAAGTAAAGAAATCTATATTGTACATACAATTTTTATTGCTGACACACTTTTACTTGTATTTTCAAGAGTTGCAATATTATGATAATTTCCCATTATGGCATAAGTATGCATAATTGTTGATAACTAAATAAGATTCCATCATATTGGTTGTTTATTATTCGCTTTACAAAAACAAATTGGTCACTGGATGAAGTCTTAAGTTTCCTCTTCACAAATAACAATTTGGAAACAACACAACTTTGTGCAAAGGCACTTCTCAGCACAAGAAAGAATGTTAAGTTAGGTCTCCCTGTAGGTGAATCTTGATGAGAGGACTTCAAAAAGTTTTTGGAAAAATGAAATTAAAAGATAAAAAAACTTTTAATGTAAATTTTACTTCTCAACATAAATTCCATCACACTCAAGACACTTTTGTAAATTCTAGACCATGCCTAAAAACAGAAGTTCCAGGGAGCTAAACCTTGTAATGGAATCCTTTGTACATTAGTAACTCAACAACAACAAAAAGATGCCCTTAACTTTTTTATTTTTAATGAGGAAAGAAAGAGTAGTGAGAAGGAGTTAAATTAAGACTGTAAGGTGGGTACTTGACGATTTTCCAACAACTTCTTCCAAATTTGCCCTTGTTTGATGAGAGGTCTGTGCAGGATCGTTACTGCGGTGGATTCCAGGGTGAATCTTTCCCTGGCATTTTTCTCCTAAAATCCTGACTTTCAGAAAATACTCTCACAATAAGCAAATGTTACTGATTTTAGCCCTCCAGGAACTCAACAAACAAAATACCTTCACCACCAACAAAAATTGTTCCCACAGCCTTAGTCTTGACTCATCTGCTTTTTCTTTTTCTGGACCATTCCCACTGCTGGCTAGCCATATTTTAATTACACTTTATCCTCAAAATCTGGGCTAGCGATGTTACATCAGTTACCACTCTTCCAAGGATTCCTTCAGAATACTGACTCTCCCTGTTTAAACTCTCCATCGAAAGTTCTGCTCTTCTCCTAGCTGATCTAGGCACAATAGTTTTGGCACATATGGAGTGTAAAATTTCCTCAACTTTAACTTCTTCTGTAAGCTGAACTATTGTTTCTGCTGTTAATTGTTGGTCCTAGTCAATTAGGACATAAAGAAAATTAATTTTGCCCTTCCAAAATGATGTTAGCTTCATTGACATCTTCTTGTCATCTTGTAAACTGCTAATTTGGGTGAAGGGTCATTGTCCCCATAAACTTTAATTAGTATCAATGGTTTCACCATTCTTCCACCCAAGGTTCACCATAAATCTTTACTTGCTTCAATTTCAAGATAATGTGCATACTTACTTTGATTTCAGCAGAACTCAGCACTCTCATAGAGACTCAAGGAGCCCTGGTAGCATAGTGGTTATACACTGGGCTGCGACCTTCAAGGTCAGCAGTTTGAAACCAACAGCTGCTCCATGGAAAAAAGATGGAGCTTTCTACTCCCATAAACAGTTACCTCTAGGAAACTCACAGGGACAGTTCTGCCCAGTCCTACAGTGTCGCTATGAGTCAGCATCTACTCAATGACAGTGAGTTTGGTTTCTTGGTTTGACAGCATCAAATCTTCAAATTGATCTCTTATCCTTGTTAGTGCCTCAAACTAAATCAGACCTGTTACAAGAATTAAACATTTTGAAAAACATGCATTTCTCAAAATATGCATTTTCAGTAACTTCTTCAAGGCCCCTTTTATTTGTACACACATATATACATTTACACATGGGAGTTCTAAAAATGCTTACAGGGGAAAATTAGGATTTTAAAGTAGTGTATTTTTCACGAATATTTTGAATTATATATATGTATATATATATATTGGACTTTAGTTTGGCCATATTCATTAAGATATATGCATATGAGAGAAACATTAAAAGATACTGATTTTCTTTTCAGTTTTTCTCTACTTATAAATGATTGCTTAATTTAGTATTTAAAAAGGTCCAGAAAGGAAGTAAAATGTTTTTATAAATTAATCCTTTAAACAGCAAGCAATTATAGTTATTTTTATGTGAGCTAATCAGTATCCTTTCAAATGTGCGATCAAGTGGCATCTATAATTATTAGAGCCAGTTGGCTCATGCATAGAACTGAATCAATTGAAATACACTATTTCCCTTTCCTACTGCTCTAGAGCTAATAACTAAGAATGGACTTCTTTTTTTCTCTCCATAAAGCTTAGCTTTGGTGGAATTCCAGTACCAGGCAAACCTGGGACATTTTTGAAGAAAAATTTCCATGGATGCATTGAAAACCTTTACTACAACGGAGTAAACATAATTGACCTGGCTAAAAGAAGAAAGCATCAGATTTACACAGTGGTAAGTTAACCAACCTTTTTCAGCCTCGTGGCGTCTAACATTTTGCTATCTATGAAGTGCTTTTATAACCTGATTATCTTAATTCAGAAAGACTCCATCAGCCTCCTCAGGTAAAAATGGCGAAAAGGAGAATAGTTAGGGACTGTGTCGACATAAATAAAATGATTGAGACGCACAGAATAATTAGAGATATTCAGAAGGGGTCATTGTTCTGGTTGTGGGTTGTGTACCATGTGGGACAGGAGTTAGCAGTGTACATTGTATTAATGCCAATTTCGTTACTATCTCTAAAAATCCATCAAGAGAATCATGTGTCCTACTAAATTCTATAGCTTGGGAAACGCTTAATTTCCACTTGTTGATATTTTTAAAACGTGTTTTTAACAGAGGGTTAAACTTTGGGTAGGGTTGAGATTTCATTTGTAGCACCTATCACAATGTCACATTTAGTGAGTTCCTAATCAATGTCACACACACACACCCAACACCCCCATCCTGATTGTATAGTGGGTACGATTGGGCTGCTAAATGCAAGATAAGAAGCTTAAACTGCCAGATGCTCCATGGGGGAAAGACAGGGCTTTCTATCCCCTTAATGAGTTCTAGTCTTGGAAACTCACAGGCTCAGTTCTGGTTGCTCCTAGAGAGTTGCCTTGAGTCGGCATTGGCTCAATGGCATTGAGTGTGCTTGTTTGTTTGTTTTCATACTTGTTCTCTTTCTTCATTGAATTCCTAGTACCTAGCTAATGTCTTGCACACAGTCAGCTTAATGCACATTTGTGAGCAAGTGATTGCTGTTCTAATTCTTGGATTATTGAAGATAGGACAACAAACCCAGACCCCTCCAACACACATCAACAAGTTTTCTTAGCACCTTGTCTGGGCTCAGCACCAGACAGCGTTGGACCGAAATAGCACCCTGGAAACGTCTGCCTGCTACGATCTCACAACCATTGCTTCTGCTTTTGAATATGTGTCCACCTATGATTCCTAACATTCTTTCTCCAGACATATGGAAAATATATACACCCGCTCCTCTGGTATCACTTGTTTTTATACAAAAAATTGCATTATGTAGAAATGTAGGACGAACACCCCAGAACCCAAAATAAAGAATTAATGCATCATTACATAAATGCCAACCCTCATCATTGCATAAATGCTAAAACATTGAGAATCATGGCCCAAGAAGTTTGGCTTATATCATTAGCTAACAGTCAATATTACCCTTGATTCACAGACTGTGCATCATTAATGAGTGAGCTAGTGGCATAGTACAATTTTTACAATTGTTATAAAGGTGAAAGGTCAGCGAGCTAGATCAGTGATGAGAAAAAGGTATGCATAAATATAAATATAATTTGTATTATCTGTTGCATTATAATTAAATAACTCTTAGTGGACATAAATAGTATATGGCATGCTGTTTCTGAAATAATCTTCAATATTTTTAGCTAAATAATAATCTGCATTAAACAACAGAATATCTTATTTAGAGTAGAGCTCTAAATGTCTACTATCTGCAATATTAATTTCTGATTTGTCTCTTATTTTAAACACAACCTCATTCTTTGAGATGTATTTTTCATAGATTTTGTGAAACGTGTTCATTTTGTTTTGTGTCCAGTTAGAATTTAAGGAAAATTTAATGTATTTCTCCATGTTTAAATATGAACCCCACAAAACGGAAAGATGTTTTCACATGTTTTATTGACAATGCAAAAGCATTTGACTATGTGGGTCATAACAAACTACACATAGCTTTAAGAAGAATGGGAACTCCAGAACACTTCACTGTGCTTGTGCGTAACTTGTACATGGATCAAGAGGCAGTTGTGTGAACTGAACGAGGGACTACTGTGTGGTTTAAAATCATGAAAGGTGTGTGTCAGGGTTGAATAATCTCATCAGACTTGTTCATTCTGTATCCTGAACAAGTAATCAGAGTTGGTGAATTAGACAAAGAAATAGATGGCATCATAATTGGAGAAAGGCTTATTAAAACCCATAAATGTAGATGGCACAAGTTTGTTTGCTAAAAGTGAGGAAGAATTGAAGCACTGGCTTATTAAGATCAAGGATTGTAGCCTTCAATATGGACTACAAGTCAAGTAAATAAGACCAAAATCTTGATAACTGGACTATCATTATCAATGGAGAAAAGATTGGCGTTGTCAAGGATTTTATCTTGCTTGGCTCCACAATCAATGCTCCTTCAAGCAAAGGTCAAGAAATAAAAGACACATTGCATTAGGAACATCTGCTGCATCTTCTTTAAAGTGCAAAAGTTGGGAGATTACTTTGAGGACAAAGGTGTAGCTTATTTAAGCCATGATATCTTCAATAGCCTCATATGCATATGAAAGTTGGACACTGAATAAGGAAGACCGATGAAGAATGGATAAATTTTCAATTGAAGTGCTGGAGATTTGAAGTACCATGAACTGCCAAAAGGAAAAGCAAATCTGTTTGGGAAAAAGTGAGACTAGAGTGCTACTTCCAAGCAAGGATGGTGAGACGTGGTCTTAGACAAGTTGTCTGGAGAGACGTGTTCCTGGAGAAGGACATTATGCTCAGTAAAGTAGAGGGCAAACGACGGAGGGGCAGGCCCTCAACAAGATGGATTAACACTACGGCCACAACAATAGGCTGAAGCAAGGAACAATTGTCGGAAGGACACAGGACCGGGGCAGTGTTTCAGCCTCTTGTGCATAGGTTTGTTATAGGTTGGAACTGAATTGATGGCACCTAATGACAAGATATTATACTACACTAATATTATATTATATTGTATGATAGTGTATCGTGCCATATCATATCATACAGGATTAGATTATAGTATAGTATAGTATAATCTATATTTACTCAGTCTTTTTCCTTTAGATATTACATGTATGAAGAATAGTTGGCACTCTTAGTTTTTGGAAAATGACTTCTTTTATTTCCGTTATCAAATTTAAGTTCATTCCAAAGACATCACATACACCAAAAAATTAGCTCTGCTTTCAGTCACTCAGTCCCTGCAGTGCTCAGTGTGACTTTTGGAAGAAATGATGGCATCTTCCTTTCATTTTCAAGGTTTATAGACTCTCTCACAGTTAACTGAGTTTGGGGAAGTTTAGGGTCAGGCAGGAAAGTTGAAGGATTGATAAACCTCGGGTGAGCAGCCCGCCGCATCACCCCTCTGCCATGAGGGCTCTCCCAAAGTTTTATCATTCGCTCTCCAGAATTTTTTTTTTTTAATGGAAATCTGACGTAGATTCAGACTCGTGTTCTATTTTGTAGTGATAACAACGGCTATTCTCGGTATGACTTTTAATGCTTTGTTGAGTACTTTTGTGACGTAGTAAAGCCAGACGCTGTGAGGTACTTTATAAATCATATCTTCAGTCATATTGCTTGTCTTAGAGCCCAAGTATCCTTGTGCCCCACCAACTCTCTAAGAGTCTAGATAACCGAGGCCCGTTCAAGAGCACCAGCTGCTCTTCTCCCATAAAAGGAGGCTCTCCGTTTCCCTGCAGACTGAGTTTCAGTGAAGCAACATCACCTGATGGCCATGAAAGTTATGAACCTTTACCTGTACCACGCGTGAGCCTGGAGAAACTCGGTGGGGCCCACCTACCATTACAAAGATGTTGATCCAAGATTTCACAGAAGACCGATGAAAAGATGGGGAGAGTGCAGAAGAGGATTTCAAATTCCCTTGGGCTCTAGACTTTCTGGAGTCTTGGAAGAAGGATGAATCCCTAAAACTATTGTATTGAGATAATCTTTAAACCGTAAATCGGGCTCAAGTAGAAAGCAAATGTTTTGAGAATGATGATGGCAACAAATGTTCAAATGTGCTTGACACAATAGATGGGTGTAGGGATTGTGATAAAGAGTTGTACAAGACCCCAATGAAATGATTTTTTTAAAAACTCAAAAAAAAAAAGGATTGATAAACCAGGCACCTGTAATATAGTAATGTAAATAAATTGCACAATTTGTTTCAGGGCTCAAGGAAGTCGAGCCCTGGCATCCTGTACTATAAGCCTCTCCAGCACATTGTATTCAAGCAACACCTCTTGGCAATCTGTCGTTCCTTTCTTGTGAAACCTGTTCCATTCCCTAGAGCTTGAACCACTGTCCCTGAGGGATAATTCTGTTTAGTCTTTAGCGCTGAATTTGAGTAAAAGATGATTTCCACAACCCGAAAGGAGGTCAAATTAATAACTTAAAATAGGCATAAACATGCCATGCTATTCTCGCTCAGACACTCTAGCCTGTGCCGATACAGAACCAAATAACAAACAGTCCAAAAATAAATGGCTCATTGAAGTACGTGAACAACACCTGTAATATGGGTGAGAATATGACAAATATAACAAATACATCACCCTACTATGTTCCTGACATGACTAACTCAGTCCTTTCCGTGCCCTGTGACATGCTGCTTCCCTTTGTGCTCTCCCTCCAAGCGTTCCCTCTTCCCAACTCAGCACTCCTAACATTGTGCTTGGGAAATGGTAATGTGCTCCTCAATTACAGGTTTTATAAATGACTTTTTAATTAAAAAAGAAAAAACGTTTTACAAATGCTTATGCAACTTTACTGTGTCTTCAATAAAATGCAGGGAAAATCATATAGCTAGTAGCAGGACTACGGTTAAAGAATGGCTTTGAATCTATTGATCATGTCAAATCATTTATTTGTCTGTTTTCCAATAATTGAAATTAAAAAAAATCAAATGGCAGTGACCAAAATTTAGAACATATGATGATACTCCCAACTACATAGTTGAAATTGCTTAATAAGCGAAACGCATTGCCCCTCAGCTTGTGGAAACCTAAGGGTGTAAAACGTAATGGTTTAGAGATTACCTGGGTCCCCAATGCTGCTCTTAACGCTTGCTTGTCTGTGAGACCGTAAGCAAGTTACCAAATTCTGAGTCCTCATATATAGTGAAAATATATAAGAAACAGCATAGTCCTTAGTATAAAATTTCAATAATGTATTAT